GGGGTCATATTCCTGTCTTCTAAAACAAGACAAAAATCTTCGGGTGAACGGCACCAACACGCATATTGTCTCCACACACACCTGAATGTCGTTGTGTAAGTAGCAACTTTGTACCTCGGTGTATTTTACTGTGCACAAAAAAGTGTTTTTTAGAAAGTTTTCACCTTGTGTGCAACTGTTCTGGTGTCAGAGCTTCCTGTCGAAACCCAAAGATTACGATCCACTCGCGTCAGGGGAAGTTTTCATAAAGTCATTGTTGGTTTCAAACAACAGGTTCCCTAGAACTATCTAGCTTTCATTGTATAAGGTCCCCTGAGGGTATAGGTAACCCGTGCGCCGAGTTAAAAGGCTCGAGCCACACAAAAAAGGCTAAAAAAATACTTACAGCTTCCTTGCACCCCAGGTTCGGTTTTTATTTGTGCTAAAGCAAAATAAAACAAACTGAAGCGGTCAGCATCCAGAAAAACTAACGCGGATACTGTCTAATCAAATAATCATCTTGTGACTCGATCATTCTACGAAATGACTGTCAGCCTCCGCTGTATTCTAAAGTGTAGACCATCAGGTTTTCTCACGAGGATAGCAATGCAAAAGCTAAAACAATTTGTGCTTTGAGACAGTACTTCGTCATTGATGATGAGTCTACGTTGTTCATTCCATCTTAGAAACTTGTTAAACTTCTCGATGAAGTTGATTATGAGGTTCAACAGCGAAACAAAACGCAACAGAATTTTCTAGTATGATTACCCAGTATTTCACGAGATACATGGATGTAGGTGCGTTTCTCCTTAAAAACGATCAGATAGATGGAAAACACATGTGAAAAATGACTCCCCGATTCTTACTCATTGAAGGTTGAAACATCGGATACTGTGGTTGTAAAGCTGAAGTTTGAGAGAGAAAATTATTTTTTTCAAAAAAAGTTTCGCGCCGAGTTCATGAATTTTCTTTAGTTTTCGAAGGCATCTCGTAGAGTTTCTGTGACTATTTGTCAATACTCCTGCGACAACCGGGGATTTGGCTGTATAATTATTGATTAATCAATACTGCATCTAGCTACAACCCGGTCACCTTCATCCGACGCAGTAAGACTTTGCACAGAGTGTCAAGCACACAGTGCATGAAACCTTGAAAACATATCCTGATCCCGAGACTTCATACTATTGTTCAAGTGTTCACCAGTTTTAACTTTGTGTTCGGCGCACCTCCGCTCAATTTAAAAGGAACAGCCTAAATCTCTCCATAAAGGAAACTAGTCACAAGTTTGCAGAAAACTCTTCGACAGCCCACGACCGGTTTTGCCTTTCTTGGGGCTCATCAGGCAGGCGCGGCCCCCGAGTTTCCGTCAAATCTATGTTCTACTTGAAATTGAGTCTCCCGTGAAAACCAAATTGATTTGCAAATGAGTGTATTTCTCGAAAACAGTGCAACCTTGGGTTCAAGTAGATCGTAAGGATGACGGAGGCTCGGGGACTGCGCCTACCTGATGAGCCCCAAGAAGGGCGAAACCGGTCGTGGGATGTCGAAAAGTTTTCAGCAACGTTATGAGTAGTTTCCTTTATGAAAATAGGCTGAATTTCTCTTCGCTGAGGTCAGGTTATGATAATAATTCAGCTAAAAATAACATCAGTTGCCGGAACTCTGATGCTCAATACATTCCTACACTCACTACCAAGGTTATCTTGAGACAGCCTGGTGCCACACATTCAGTTGCTTAAAAACATCATGGATTGGGGATGCCGCTGAGTTCCAGGTGAGCCTCCGAAAAACCAAATTTGTTTGCAAATGAGTGTGTTTTGCTAATTTCGTGCAATTTCGGTTCAAGTAGAACACAAGGTTGACGGAAACTCGGGGACTGCGTCTACCTGACGAGCCGCAAGAAGGACGAAACCAGTCATGGGCTGTCGAGGAATTTCCTGCAACCTTATGAGTATAATGTTGAGGACCATCATCCTCCTTAAAGGTTTGTGTTGTCCGATGTAGCGGTCTTCATTACCTATAAGTGTTGACTATTTTAAGTAGGCGACTGACAAAAGAGCACCGAATTTTCTTATAAAATGAATCGGCGTGACGAATTTTGCAGCCTAAAAAATACAACCCACATAATATGATACCGTGAAATCCTGAATAGTTGTGACCTCAATTACCGAATTGGGATGCTTGAAGCTACAGGCGTAAGGATCTGAGCAAACTGGTTGTTTTTTCCGAAGCCATCTGGGGGTGGAAGGGGGGAGCTCAGCTGTGTTTGTCGATCAACTGAGCTCTCTGTTAGGTATCCCGAGTCAAGTGGCACTGCGGATGTTGTTGATCTACTGGCTGATTACGTTGCTTTACTTGTAAACAGATGTGTCGATATATACCTACTTGAACTGCCATCCACCCGTTCTGGAGCATTTTTTCAGCTTACTGGCCGTGTACCGAAGTGCGGCGTTTCCAGTGTCTAAAGCTTCGTTAATCGAGGATAAGGGGAACGAGGGAGTGGGGGACGCCCTAGTCTGTGCATGGACAACAAACAGATCTGCTTGTTCAATATGACAGGAAGTGTGAGCTATTCAGGGAAGGCGATAGCATTGATGAGGGACGTCTATTAGCTGAGTGACACGGCCATACCTAGAAGGGTCACCAACCGCTGGTTTGTCTAGTCCCCATCCGGCAGGTATCAGTCGGCTCCATCTGATACAAGACTAGGCGAATAAGGCTGTAGGAGGCAAATGGTTCTCCGGGATAAGGAGTACATCGATTGGTCAGTGTATTCTTTGGATAGTGACCGATTGATATATGGAGGCAGAATGAATTTCTCCGATTTGATGTCCTCATCAAATCAGAACGATATTTTTAGTACCGATGATTAAAAACCCATGACCTCCGAAGGTGTCCCGCAAGCGTCTGTGATGCACAAAGCAGGTTAGCTTAAATCGCGTCGTTGTACACTGTGTTGTTGGCAGTCAAGCTGGTGACACGTGGGCAAAGTCCGCCTTGATGGAGTACCTAGCCAATTATCTCACACATTAAAAAAGGAAGCACTGAGACCTGATTTCGTCCTCGTAACGACTAAGTAGTCACGATGGGATCAGGGCTCCGAGTACTTGGTGATCGTGGATGCATCCGAACCATAAGGCTTCGTTAGGGTATACTGGCAGTTCGGTCAACCTGGTCTGCGTTCCCTGTGCCTCAAATATCGACTCAATGATGGTCCTGATCAGACCAGGACATATCTAAATCAGAATGTGACTACCAAAAGCACAAGGTCTGATGCAAAATGCAAAAAAACAATAGAGACATATAAGAACAACCTCAGAATCCAAGATCACTTTTCAAAAGGTAGGAATCGGTCTAAATTTTTGCCTTCCATGCGATGTTTTGAAAACAAAATATTCTACTAGAGAGAGAGAGAGTTCTGGATCCGAGTGCGGACTACCTTGGTTCAACAAAACCACTGGACTACCCGCAATCGTCCATTATGATCCATCAATTAACGCAAAAATCATTACTTTCCCTAAAATACTCATTCTTTCAAAGCTGATCGCAACAACGAGCAGATTTCATGTAGCATCATCAATTGGTTCACTACAATTACTTACTTGGAACACCTGCAGAGGCAAACGAACTGATCAATACTTTTCGCGAACAAGACGCAAGTGATGCACACGAATTCAGGTACTTTCGAAGCACAGAATAGTATAAGTCGTCCGGCCAAGCAATAGCCCTGTACTGTATCGGAAGTAACACTCAGCCAACTTCCCAAACCATCCGGACAAAGCCGGATTGAATTCAACCGTATTCCTCAGCTGGGTGATGTGTTTTTGTCTCACACAAACCGGATCTCTGCACACACACATAGGCCTCAAAGATGATATTGGGTATTCGGACAAGATACCGTATTAACCCGAGTCATTCACTTGGGCCGGAAGAACACCCGCATGGTACACTGCATCAAAATGCCACATGAGCCAGACACGGTATTTTCGTAAATGTGTAACATTCCACCGCAATCAACTCGGCTTAGTTGTGCTTTTATAGAGGTTCATTTTTGGGTGTTCTTTCTGCGCACTAACACTCTCCAGGGTGGCTGATCGGGTACAGCTAACTCCTGTCATTACAAAAAAGCGGTCGTATTTGTTCGCTTGGAGTTGCGTGGATGTGTAACTGACGCCAAAATAAGAAGTTTGAAATGAAACTACTCACAAGGTTGCTGAAAACTCTTTGACAGCCCACGACCGGTTTCGCCCTTCCACTTTGGGCTCATCAGGTAGGCGCAGTCCCCGAGTTTTCGTCAACCTTATGTTCTACTTGAAATGACTTTGTGGCGATAGCTTGTATTTCCTCATCATCATCCAACAACACGTCAGTCTGCTGGGGTCGAACAAAGTAGAAACCTGTGCTTGTGTAAATAAAGAACAAACATTCACCGGGTGGATCGCCGATCATTGCGAATCCATGAAGACAAAGTGCAGAGTGATGAAACAGGAAAAGCAGATACGGAGTGTCTGATTTTTACTCGACATGGCACGTTGGACATCCACCAAATTCCTGTTTGATTTAGTAGCATCATCAGGTCCTCCAAGGAGCTCTCGAATTCATACTTGCAAGAATGGACGCCGGTAATGAAATAAAATCGCAGGAATAGCCAAAAGTTCGAAAAAGAAGCAGTGGATGACTTTGATAGAATCTACCCTCCGTAACGTAAAGAGAATCACTAGGTTTTTGAGAGTCAGTAGGTTACACAAACGGTATGCATCTCATTCGTCATAGCAAACAGGGGAGTATAAAACAGAAATTTCAAAATAAATCATAAAATTTAGGATTCCTATAAATCAACCAATCGACCATCTTTGGTAACCCACACCAGGACCAGGGTGTGGCTGTTACGTGCGCGTGGGTTGAAGCTGAGGTTAGCTGGTCGCACAATTGGTTAGTGTTTATGGCCCCACAGCGGATAAGTGGACGTCGGTCTGTCCATATCAGCTGCGTGTGGTCAGGGCTCACAAACGCCAAGCAATAGCGTAACTAACTGATCACAGGTTCAATAACGCACAACTTGGCCAGTGAACAGCCTCTCGTGAGCTGACCACACACCATTGAACTCCAGTTCACTCTTGTTTCTCTTACCCTTTGTTGTTCCGACTGCTTCGCTCCTGATGAAGGTCACCCGCACTGGATGAACCTTTGAGTTTCGAAAGGACTTTGCAACTATTCTTGTGTTTTCTCTTCGCTAATCAAACTAGGTAGGGCAGTGAAGCGTCGGTATTGAACACCGATTCCACGCTGCCGATGATGGTAATGATGATGATGAATCAAACTAGAAAGATATCACATGGCGCACAAATCATTCAGCACGATGGAGATGTTTTGAACCATAAAATTTCCCACGCCACTTACCTTCTTGCATTGCCGAAGTTATTGTATGTGCTGTGGCAAAACATGATGGAATGGTTAAAACGAAAACTCGGTGTGGATAGTATCTTCTGGATTTCACATTCTTGCTGTTGTGAGTTGAACAGTAGCATAATATGCACTACACAAATTTACCACTGCGACCTTCAGCAATACACTCCCTAAATTTCAACTAACTGGTTGTTGTACAACTAAATGAGGCTGAACAATTAGCTGGTTTACTACTGAAATCTCAGTGCCTAGGTTTAAACATTATAGCCCGGTGAATGAGTACAAGGACTACAAATCTGTTCTTGTCGCAGCAACGATCGGTCTCGAGTAGGTTCACAGTCACTGAAAGCGGTCACGCAAAGCGTAACCAGATTGCACAAAAGTTTGTAAATTTTCTCAAAGGAAACTACTCACAAGGTTGCTGAAAACTCTTTGACAGCCCACGACCGGTTTCGCCCTTCCACTTTGGGCTCATCAGGTAGGCGCAGTCCCCGAGTTTTCGTCAGCCTTATGTTCTACATAAAAGAGTCTGCTCGAAACCGTCCTGGAGTAATGTGTATTCCATAGCTCTGAAGCCAGCAAATCGTACGAATGGATCTCTTGATTCAGGCGGTCTTATACCAGCCGTCCACAATAACCGCCTTTTCAGCCAAGCAGCCTCAATGTAACCCCAACAGCTTGACTCCAAATGCGTGCTTCCAGAGTAACAACCCTGCACATTTATATAGCATTTTCTCCACTATTTTTCAATAATAAATTAACATAAAAAGAATTCCTCAGTCAATTTTTGAGAAACCGTACAACTAGATGATCATTATTTTGTTTTTATTGGGAAATTATTCTTGGGAAAATAATTGAACCCACATGGTTGTCTGTGACCACTTGTTGCTGTCGGTCCTAGAATGAAAAGTCAAATCAAACGTACAAGTTAACAAAGAGGAAATTTCCACGCGACTAAGACATGGTAAACAGGAAACCAATCAAAAAGAGCGATGTGAAGAAGCTAAATGCGTAACAGCAGTCATAAGTAATCAATAGGGTCGGAAAAGTTTAACATATCTTGGAAACTGCGTATAAGATCTTGCGAATAAAATGCTATTGGAAAACCGTCACCTTGTGACTCATGTGCTGTTAAATCAACTTGAATCATTCACCATGCAGATTTGATGCTTTAGCTTCGTTATTTTGTTTGTCTTTTTAACCGATGATCCACGCGTTAGTATATATTCTAGAGTACAATCGTTTTAACGGATTCTTTAGTAGGAGTCTTTCGCGCAGTGAATCTCTGGTGGAAACTCTAATCTGTATTCATGTTGACTACTTTCTCAGTTTACAGGAAGCTCTAAGTAAATCAATGACGGAACCAATCAGATTGTTGGTATGCACGCTTAGTACAAGAGAACATTGGGTCTTTGAATGAGAACGCAGATCCAGCAGCCAGAGGTGGCTGGGATAACTCGATCCTAAACAAAGACGCAGATTTCGCGGTAAGAGCAATTTTTTGAGTAGATTTTTTGTAAGCACTCACCAGGTATCATGAATACCCATCAGTGTGGTTTACATGTGCACGCTCGGGATGTCTGTCTTCACTATAGGCTGATATCGTAAGCCACTTAAGCAATGATGCTTCCTTGAATTACTATCCTACCGGGACGGTGTAGAAATTGATTTCTCATCCGAATAGAAGATGACACAAGCCCCCCCTATCAAGTGTGCAAACGAGGCTCTCATTTTGATAATTTAATGATAAACAAGTATCAAAACTACATGAATATTGGGTCGATAAACGATTCTAACCTATTGAGGAGAATGTTGGTATCAGTGGCAGCGTAGAATATCTATGGCTACCGACCTTCATGTGAAGTGAAAAAAACTTCAATCTGCGGCCTTTTTTTCGTAAAATTCTCCACATTTGTGAGTCATCCTTTTCTCCTTCTACACATGTGCTTTTGTGGCACATTCTATTTTAAAGTACAAATCACTTGGTTTCAATAAAAATGCTCACAAATGCCTTTGGGTTACCCTAAAACAATGTTAAAATAACAGTTTATACCCAACTTGTCCATCTGCAACACCACCTTGGTGCCCACCTGCCGTGTTATCCAGAAGCCGCACATGGGCTGGGATATTGCTAGTTTGCTTAGGCCTAGCCAGGGGCAATCAATATGTTGTACTTGGGATCGTGTTGTAACGGTATTTTTCTCAGCTTGGTTCTCGGTCTGAGCCTCCCAAGCTAGCGTTCACGTCAAAACAGCCGCCACAGGTGTACAAGGTATAGTAACGCCCAGAACGAAGTCAGGAACAGCTGTACAGCGCTTCATGTATATAGCGTAAGCGGTTATAACTTTCTGGAAATTCTGACGCGACATTGGCAACCGGTATTCGGTCAATACTTGGTCGTGATTGGCTGTTGGGTCGAGACTTTCGACCAATCAAATCTCGCCTTGATGCC